TGATTTTGACGCCCCCTCCTCTATCTAAAGCTGAAACTAAAAAAGTTTTATCTGGAGTTGTGCTTTAGCTTTCACTGTTACATTAAATGTGATTTCCAAAAACAATTATCTTCCTCCTTTAGAAATCATTAGAATATCAGATGACCTCCAATATGTAAAATTCTGCCCACCGGCCTGTTAAAGCAAGCATCTCCTATTTGGCTGAGCCATTGCTTGGTGCTTGCTGCTCTTCTCCATGCAGAGCCTGAGGAATGAGCTCAGCTCTAATACCAGAAACAGAAGTTGGAAACTACTGAGATGGAGGATGATTTTAAAAGGCAGGCAACATAATACTTACACAATAAAAGTTTACGATAACTTTCTGTTCTGTAGGATAAACTCCTGCCCTCTGCATGTCCTGTCATCTGTCACATCATAGAACTTTTTCTCACTTGTTCTGGCAGCTGCAGCCACAAAATATTGCTACACGACTGTCTCCAAAACAGCGATCGGCAGTTAATCTGGCCTGTCACTGCCACGGAGTATATAATTTGGAAGAAAGGTGTAATAGGAGTATTCAGATTTCGGACCCTTGGGTCAGTTAACGGCAATAACTGATGGATATTCCCAGTTCCAAAACACAAAAAAGCGTCCATCTGCTAAAGTCATCACATAACATCATCCGCATCGCCCCGCGCCGTTCCCCGCTGCCAAACCTGACTCTCGGTTTTCTCTTTCCACCCCAGAGTGAGCTTATGGCAAAGTAAGATTTATCCCGACCTCTTCACACATCATCAGAATTTCCCCAGCTGTAAACAATAGAAAAATTCCTCTCCAGACAAAAAGATGGCTCAGTAACCCTTTGTACAATCGACATTGTATTGGCCCGTCAGTTGTCATGGAGAATCACAAACCACTCCATGGATGACTGACAACGGGTAAGCAGATTGCAGTCTGGGTAGCTTAATAAGGACCAAATGAAAATGATTTTCAAATGTAAAATGTAAACTTGTAAATTAGGTTTTATTCCCATGTGTATTAATGTATATTTAGTTCCTTCCATGAATAACATGACTGAAATATAAAAAATTCAGCTCAGAAGAGATCCCTATAACCAGGGGAGGTTCCATCTGATCCATAAAGTTGCCAGGGCGCCTTTCACTACCAGTATCAAGCTTTGGGGTGAGTGTTGAGGATATGAGAGTGACTGAGATACCTACAAAGGGCTAAATCTGAGCTATAAGATCTGTTGCAATTGTTCCGAAGGGATGGATTTTAATCATTTATAGTAGGCAATGAGCTCCTGAGGCTGTTGACATTAGGACAGATTTTTCCCATCTTGTAGTTGATGACCTACAAAAACTAAAGTCTGTAGTATCTCAGAAGCTGACATTTGTGGCCATACACCAAGAGACTGGACCAAGAAAGTTGCCAGGCCATGCTTGACTACCAGTATCAAGCTTTGGGGTGAATCTTGAGGATATGCCTGTGTGAGTGATTGAGATACCTACAAAGGGGCTAGATCTGAGCTGTCAAATCGGTTTCAATTGCTCCAATATGACAGCTCAGATCTCTTTATAGGCATCTCATTTGCAACTCACTGCTAGTCCCTTTGAATCTACGACTTCTGCCCTGATAAAGAGGGGAGCATTTCCCCTAAAATGCATATGCTTTTCTTGATACAATTTGTCATTTTGGACAAAAGATTTTGAACTGTCTTGAACCTTTGTACTGGATGCTCCTCAACACTCAACCCCAAAGCTTGATATCGACTGTACATCTCCTTTTGAGATTACTATGGACGTAGCAGCCTGGGACCAGAACAAGGCCTTTCCCACACTGCACATTCATCGGTAGTCATGCCCTTTGAAGGAGGATTCAATTGGGTGTGAATGCAGAAGCATCGAGGCCCTAGTCTTCTTGGTCCAGCTCTATCATACACACAAGCTTGACTACATCAGTGACGCTTGGAAAAAACATTTCTTAGTTTTATCCAAAGACCCTACTTGAGTTCCTTTCCATGGTGGTCAAGCTGGGGCCTTCCGCTGACCCCACATGTGGCAGATGACGGATACAACCATTTTGTGTTGCGGTTTCCTTGGATGTTTTTTTTTTCCCTTAAAAATAATATATCACATTAGAAATCATAACCTCTGTTTAACCCTTACCAGTATTACTAAATACCAGTATTTAGTATGGACACCATTGGTGCCTAGAAAATATATAAGGCTTCCTATTTTCCAAAGATTACACTTGGGTTCCTTTCTATGGTTGTCAAGCTGCGGCCTTCCGCTAACCAAACAATTGGTAGCAGATGGGTACAACCATTCTGTGTCACGGTTGCTTTGGACACGAAATAATGCATCATATTAGTAAACTTAACTTGAGTTTAACCCCTGAATACCAGGGGCGGACAGACAACTCATGGGACCCCGGGGCAATAGGGGATCATGGGGCCCCTGTGTCCTTGCCCAAACTCAAAAAAGCCTTTGAAAAAGGTACCAGGGGCATCTCATGGGGCCACCTACTGACCCCGGGCCCTCGGGCAGTGCCCGAGTTTTCAAATGGTCAGTCCGCCCCTGCTGAATACCAGTATTTTATATAGACATTGACGCTTGGAAAATAAATAAGTTATACTTTTTTTCCATAGACCTTACTTGGGTTTCTTGCCATGGTTGTCAAGCTTTGGCCTTCTGCTCACCCCACAAGTGACAGTTGGATGGGTACAGCCATTTTGTGCCATGGTTGCTTTGGATGTGGTGTTTTTGGGTTGAAATAATGTAACTCATTAGAAAACCTAGTTTAACCCATAAACCTAGCCGTAAAGGTAACCATAAACCTGAACCTGGACACTTTTATGAAGAAAATGTTAAGATGATGCTAATGTTGATATCACATTGAAATTGGTTTGTGAGGCAGCACATACGGTTCATAAAGAAGTCCTCACTTTCCAACTGTTAGAGATGTGAAATGGCACGCCTTAAGACTTTTGGGGCCCATTTACATCCTTGCTTTGTGGTAAGGTGCGAGTTAAGGTGCCATTTATTTTGAATGGCACCCAATGCATGTGTCACGTCCCATTTTCTGGATGGTTTGGTGGGCTGCCTTAACACATTGTGCATTCCCATGTGACCTAACATTCTTTATTGCACCACAAAAACGTAAATGAGTTCTGAGTGCTATTTCCATTTTTTCCACCCACTTTATCCATAATTTGTGTAACAAGTCATAGCTATCTAGACAAACCTGGACTGTTCTTTGCTGTGTCTGACATGGCATAGCCTCCCATCAAATGTCCTACGCTGCATTCCCCCATGCATGCAGGGTGTGAACACCGTAGACTTTAGTGGTTGTCGGGATGTGGATAAGCTGTCCATCGAAACAACAAGGGTCAGGCCCTGAATGTGCAGGTGAGGGTGCACAGTGCAGGACTAGGAAGAGCTGAAGAGAGTTTGGTGCAGCTCCGCACAGCAAAGATCTCTCTGGAGCTGAGTTTCAGGTAGGTAGAACGTAATACAAACGTACTGAGGGAAGGGAGCCTTGGAGCTGGACTCCTGCCGCACAGCTTAATACAAAACTAAAAGAGATATACGTAAACTGTTTTACACGCCAGAGGAGTTGTAATTTTGTTCAGCCAGTTAAGTGAGCCAGGTATCCCTGCCAGACACCACAGCCAGGTCCTTGCACTTAATGCAGATTACAATGCAGCCAGGTCCTGGACCCTCTCCAGCTGTAGATGGCTGATCACCCCACTCCCAGGATGAGGGAGAGTATGGTAGACTGACATCAGTACACATTAGTGCTGTATAAAAGTACATTATTGTAATGTTGTGAGATTAACGGTGCTGCTGACACCAAATTCCACACTTGTTCTTCATGGACATTGGATTGTTGGCTCAGCTCACAAGACAATAGGCCGCATCTTCCTAAACATTATCAGCCTGGCAATAAAAACTGCCTCCAAATGACAGGTCCACTTTAAAGGTTTCACTGGAAAATTGAAGCAGCTCGGTGAGTGCTGGATTGGTTTATTGAATTCGTTCTCCCAAGTTACTAGCTAGAGAGCCATTATGCCAAAAATTGTTAAAGTAATCCTTTTACAAGAATTGCTGTGTAAATGTCCCTCCCAGGCAAATAATAAATGGTTTTTCCTGGGACAGGGTCCAGGGGATGGTTGGCCGTGTCCTGTGTTTTCAACTAAAGCTTTTTTTCTTTTTGTTCCCTGTCTTTTGGCCAGTGGGCATTTTTAGAGAAGGGCCTGGAGTCACTGGACCTAGTGTCTCAGAGGGTCCATTCCTGATATGGAACCTTTTCAATGCCATCAGGATAAGGCAACTCGAAGGACTGCACAGAAGAGCAGAAACTAGAAGGTTGTATGGAAGGAATATCCATTGGTCATCGGCTGTGAGCCATCAACATACACCAAGTGTAGCACCTACTATTGTATTCTTCTGAGAATCTCATTTAAGAACCTGTTTGATCCCAGATCAGTACATATGTCACGTGGTTAGTTACAATGCCTGGGGACAACGCTAAATCATTGGACCAGACCAACACTAAGTCCTGCCCCCTTCCAGTGTGGGAAATTTTACTTGATTCTCATATGTTTCGGTATTCAGGTGGTGGTGGTCCTCAAAAGTCCAAGGGGTCAGACCTAAAAAGCAGACTGAAGACCTATAGAAAGTCCCAAAGTATGCACCATAAAAAAAAAAAAAAAGAAATGAAGAGGTTGGTCAGGCCCTTATAGAGTAGTGTGTGTCTCCATATTAAAGCTAATACTTCAAAAAAGGGATTTTTAGAGAGAAAAGCAAAAATGATTTACTGAGCTGTGGTAACCCAGGTGGGTAGAACCATGCAACCTTCTACAAAAGCAGGTGAAGAAAGGGCACCCATCTCCACATGGGGCTGTGAGATGGGGAAACAGCTCTCATTGTTTGAACACTGTGTGGAAGTAAATTAATGTTTTGACTGACATTCTGCAGTTTAGCCACAAGATGTCACTGTTTTTCTAACACAGCCTCAGACTGCATAGATATTTGTATATTCATGAAGAGGTGGGGTTTTGCACACAGAGTTGGAGAGAACAGGAAGGAGAGAGAGAAGCCATGTTTTGGAGCATGGTGAATAAGGGGCCCTGTGAGCTGAGAATCTGATGACATCCAGGTGTGAAAGCGTCCCTCCGTAACCAGAGCTGCAGCTAAGTGAAGCTGATGAGATTGCTGCCAGGAAGCTGATGAAATTGCTGCCAGGAAGCTGATGAGATTGCTGCCAGGAATGCTGATGAGATTAGAGGAACTAAGCAACATATACAGCGAGACCGCATGCTTGTTGGAGAGACATTTGTTCTGTTCAGAGTCACCAGCGGATGCAAAGCAGACCCGGGTCGGTAAGATCGTGCACGCACCTCATTTCAGTGTTGGCGCCTTGAGACTGAGTCCAGGGCTATAGTTAGTTAGGGTCTCTGTTTGTGTCAGGCCACAAGTGTTGTTACTGATTATTGGAAGGACTCCACCACTTAAAGTGACATTTCACATTGGAGAGCTGATAAAATCCTACAAACTCAAGCCAGACTGGCGTTTTGCTCAGAAGGAATACTCAGGCACGTGCTACAGGACCAGTTATGGGAGGGGGAACACTGTAGATTTGTGTAAGATTGTAAGCTGTTGTGCTGCACCACAGGCTAGCCCATACCGTACCCCCATACACTGATTCCTGCTCTGTAGGGTAATAACAGGTAAGGTGTGGCAGCTTAGTTGTGCCCCCCAGTAGGTAAATTACTACACTTTCTACCTTCATCCATCAGGAGGCGCCGTGCTGTGCAGCACAAGGGTCTCAGCCTTTGGTCTGGATGTTTGTAAATTTATTGTATGTTCCCAGCATTTGTGGTTGTGTTTATTTGCCACATCTAAGTAAAATTCTGTTGTGGCAAAAGCTGGTGTTGGGGTTGTTTCCTCGTTCGTGACTTCACTGTATCCTGGGGAGCTAAAAGGTGAACGTATCCTTTAGCCTGGATAAGTACCAACCCTGGAGCTTACACAGGGAGGACTTCTGCTATGGGAAGATAGTTAGATAGTGGGGAGCACCTATAGGTGAGTATACCTTACTGAGGGAGTGGGCTATCCGGAGGCAATGTCACTCTGTCTCTTTAAAACCTTAACGTGTTACTAAACCCACAACAGTCTGTAGATGCAGTTAAGCATGCTTGTTATACTCACTGTGGAACCTAAGGGGTTAGTCCTCTGCATTGTGTAAAAAGGCTGTTTGATCCTGTCTTCTCTTATCCTCCCTTTCTTCTACTGTCCCCAATCCATTGAGTGATAGAACAGAGCTCTAGGAGGCACTCTGCACATGCTCAGTTTAGTGTTTGTGGCTAGAGAGTTTTTTTTTACTTTGAGAGGGTGTATGTAATCAGCACAGGGCCAATCAGCACTGTCCAGACAGAGGGTCAGGAGTCATGCAGCCTCATAGGACAGTCAGAGGAGAATGTAAACTCCTCCTGCAAGCTTCAATCAGTACTCGGCTGGACACTGATAGAAGTCACAAGACTGCTATATAATGCTGATGAGAAAAGGTATTTAGTAGTTTATATTTACTAAAATAATTGCATTTCTGTGCTGTGTGTTCTGTGGGAGACCGGATATAGTGAATGCAGGGTCCAGGGAGAGCGGATATAGTGAATGCGGGGTCCAGGGAGAGCGGATATAGTGAATGTGGGGTCCGGGGAGAGCGGATCTAGTGAATGCAGGGTCCGGGAAGAGCCGATATAGTGAATGCAGGGTCCGGGGAGAGCGGATATAGTGATTGCGGGGTCCAGGGAGAGCGGATATAGTGAATGCGGGGTCCAGGGAGAGCGGATATAGGGAATGCGGGGTCCGGGGAGAGCGGATATAGTGAATGCGGGGTCCGGGGAGAGCGGATATAGGGAATGCGGGGTCCGGGGAGAGCGGATATAGGGAATGCGGGGTCCGGGGAGAGCGGATATAGTGAATGCGGGGTCCGGGGAGAGCGGATATAGTGAATGCAGGGTCCGGGGAGAGTGGATATAGTGAATGCGGGGTCGGAGGAGAGCGGATATAGTGAATGCGGGGTCCGGGGAGAGCGGATATAGTGAATGCAGGGTCCGGGGAGAGCGGATATAGTGAATGCAGGGTCGGAGGAGAGCGGATATAGTGAATGCGGGGTCTAGATAGGTAGATATGAAATATTGCATATCTGCATTTGCATCTATTCTCCAGACAGTAGGTGGACCTCAGCTCCTTTTCACGTTTTCCGGATGTCACGAGGTATGAATCTGCTCCCACGAGGGGTGGATTGACTGACCAGAACTTAGGATAGCAGCTGGGTGGATGGTGGTGAGATCCACAGAGTGAACACAGAGGACTCAGCTGGCCGCTCACTTAGGGGAAGTGAGAGCCCTGAAACATGCTAAGGTGTAGGGTCTAAGATACCCCCTGGTCTTCACCAGAGCTCCTAGTGGTGGGGATGTTGCTCTGCAGGCGATATGCAGGTCGCGATCCTCTGACTCCCCCAAGCAGAACTCAGAGAACTCTTTTGCATCACTGAGACAGGACATACGGAATTGCAGGATACACAGAGAAATATCCAAACAGCACAAAGAGACACTTGGGGCAAATGAGAAATCCAGGCTGGGAGTGTACAGGTGCAGATAACGAGGCAGGCTGGAACACACAAGCGGAACAGACTGGGGAAGAGAACCAATTAACAAACTGAAGAGCAAAGAGAGACCCAGAGATGAAGGAAGATGAAATGCAGGTAAGAGGGACACACTGGGAGCAAGGCTGTGAGCAGGTTGGGGTACTCCGGGAGCAAGCTGGGGTACACTGGGAGCAAGGCTGTGAGCAGGTTGGGGTACTCCGGGAGCAAGCTGGGGTACACTGGGAGCAATGCTAGGAGCAGGCTGGGGTACTCTGGTAGCAAGGCTGGGAACAGGCTGGGGTACACTGGGAGCAATGCTAGGAGCAGGCTGGGGTACTCTGGTAGCAAGGCTGGGAACAGGCTGGGGTACACTGGGAGCAGGCTGGGGTACACTGGGAGCAAGGCTGGGAGACACGGGAAACCGCCAGATGAAACCCCCAGATGAAACCGCAGGGGGTCCGGCTGCTAGCGTGTGGATTCTTTGCTCAAACACTGAGCCATCTGTATGCCAGCGTTTTAGAACAGCGCCCCCCTGTGTCGGCTGGAAACCTGCAGCTGCACACAGTGAGAAAGACCTGGAAAAGAAAAGAAAAGTGTGGCACCAGCTTCTCCTTACCACCCATTGTAAAAAGCATGTTGTTCACAGAGCCCAGTAGCTCAAGCTGAAAGGTATAGTCTTAACTCTGTACAGTCCCGTCTGAAGATCCAATCAGAGACAGAATGCCTGAAAGCAGGGCCGTGGATAAGGGGGTACCACCAGTCCTCCTGTACGGGGCCCAGGCCAGCAGGGGGGGCTCAGGCAGCAGGGTGAAGAGGATGTGGGTAGGGAGGGTGATTGGCATGATGGTGGGGGGAATAATTATTGGAATCAATCTCCTGTATTGCTCTCTCTGCAGCACCTGAAAGTTGGCTTCTTCTCCTCTCCCTCCAGCTGGCTTTCAGCTGTTGCAGAGGGAGACATACCGGGGATCAGTTCCACTAATTCCCCCCCCCCGCGGCACCCATCACCCTCCCTGTGCACTATACGTTTCCTCCTGCTGCCCAGGCCCCCCCTGTGTGCCCCCCCCGTGTGCTGCCGGCCTCCCTCCTCTCCTTCCCATCGGCAGCTGCAAGCACACGATAGGATCCTTCAGGATGGAGAGTGGGGGAAGGGTCCGGTAAATATGTTACATTTACCAGCCCCTTCCTTTCCTGAATGAACACAATGAGTGTTTAATACCGATCATTAACTGTGTTCATTCATAACCGAAGCATAGTAAACTGTGTCATTTTTTTTTTTTTGGGGGGGGGCCCTTTCAGGTTGGCTGCATGGGGCCCCCGTGGTTTCTAACAGCAGCCCTGCCTGAAAGCAAACAGCTGTGGTTTGGAAATCTTAGGTTCACCCAGGGGCGGACTGACCATTTGGAAACTCGGGCACTGCCTGAGGGCCCGGGGTCAGTAGGGGGCCCCATGAGATGCCCCTGGTACCTTTTTCATAGGCTTTTTTGAGTTTGGGCAAGGACACAGGGGCCCCATGATCCCCTACTGCCCGGGGGCCCCATGAGTTGTCAGTCCGCCCCTGGGTTCGCTCCACATTAAATGTTTATTAGGCAAAGATTTTCTATACCATTGACTCATATCAGTTTTAAAAATGTTTGAATGTAAAATAAAAATCAAATAAAATCGTCCCCGAACCACGGTAGCTCGACTTTAAGCCCCCCCTACCCCCGGTTGTCCCATTTCTCTGGAATACGTGTCATGAATCTCAGTCTAGCGATTCATTTTCGGGTTTATTTCCAAGAGAAAATCTTGAGTTTTAGCGCAGCTCTGTGCCGGCGGTGACTTCTCTCCGGGATGGCGGAGACGCGGAGCCAGATGAAAGCTGGGGAGTGCAGGAGAGGGATCCTGGCTTCAGTCCCCATTGAAATCCCAGCCTGCCGCAGACATCCATTCACAAGGCTCCATTGTTTTCACAAATGACTTTATTTTCTATTAAAAAAGCTGCCGAATGTTTGTACAGATCTGAAGCCGCGCGCTCCCCGCTCCCCTGTCAGCGTAAATGACATAATTACTATTGTCAGTGATTTCTGCAATTTTGTTTTATGAAATATTTCTGTAAATAATGAAGAGATATAATGAAGGAATCTGCATACTTATCACACTCCAACCCAACTCCTAATTAAAGACGATTTTCGCTCCGTCGCGGGTTTTTTTTTTTTTTTATCTGAAGGAAGCTGGAAAAAAAAAAAAAAGTTTAACTTCGGCAAGGGAGAGATTTGTTGGCTGACAGAGAGGGAAGAGAGATTGTTCAGTAATGAGGCTGGAGTGGCGCTCTACCTTGGAACTGCATATCTTAGACTAGATTCACGCCTCTGCGTGCTGCGATTCATGCATTTTCCAGCACGTTTTGCGGGGCATTTTTGAACACGCATTTTTTGCCAATAAAGTATTGACTTTGATACAATTTTGGATGGGTGTGACTTGGATGCAACTTAGATACTTTGGATGGGTGTGACTTGAATGCAACTTAGATACTTTGGATGGGTGTGACTTGGATGCGACTTGGATACAACTTTGGATGGGCGTGACTTGGGTGCGACTTAGATACAACTTTGGATAGGCGTGACTTGGATACAACTTTGGATAGGCGTGACTTGGATGTGACTTAGGTACAACTTCGGATAAGTGTGACTTGGATGTGACTTAGGTACAATTTTGGATAGGTGTGACTTGGATGCGAC